ATTTCGACGTTGATCACCAAAAAATTTCGGAAAATACACTTCCCAATCGTTTAATGTGACAAATCGTTCGACTAATAATAAAATAAAAAAAAAACGAATAATTGATTCATCAGGATTGATGTAAAAATTATCTCGGTGGAAGTTGTCTATTTCTTGATCATCAAAGATTTCTTGTATTTGTTCATCCATTTTTTTTTAAAAAGGTATAAAATTTATTTAATTTTATTATATTAATATTAATTATAACAATATTTGTTAGATATTGTCACATGATACATTTATAGATGTACAGTGCCTGGACATATATAAATGGACACTTGCAGATCATAAAAAATAATTGATACATTACGTGTCATTTATATTAATAATTAATTAAAGGACGTTAAGCAATGCTGGAGAATATCAACTTTTATTAATTATGTTTCCTAAGCCTATTTTAAGAACCCCGGGGGAAACATATGGTTCTTCTGCATTTATGTATTTTATTATTTAGTTAATAATTTGTGATTTAATTAGGTTATTTTTCTCTGGCAATCAAATCACTTTTAAACGGACAGATATATTATACGACACTTAGTATAGATAATAATAACTACGATATAAAAGCATAATTTGGAAAAAAAAAGCATAATCTTGGACACTCTACATATAATTATAAAGTTTATTTGAATATAATTATGTAAATAATTTTTTTGTCAATTGAAAACGTGATTTTACATATACAAATCTACTTTAAAATTATATAGTCACGCAACATAATTTCGAGATCGTCACAAAGTGATAAACGTGATAAATCGAACTTCCATCATGCTGGTGAACTCTTGATACATCTTTTTCATAAGGAATTATATTAGTGCATCCAACATAACATATCATTCTTCTCCATGACCTTAATATAATATTTGCAGTCTCAGATTCTTCTGAAATAAAAAGAAGAAATATGTGAAGTAAATTCTATAATGGTTGTTGATTCTTGCTTTCATTTGGTAAAAAATTGATACCAGTATATGTTAACGACTGATATTTTCTTTTAAGACATCTCTTAAATGCGTTTGTCATGATTTCAATATCATCTCAGTGAGAGAATGTGCAATAAAGTGCATCTATATGTTTTTAATTACTTGTATAACAAGTTGATAAACCAAATAATTCCCTTCTATTAATACCTTTCAAAATAAGAAACCTTTCCCAAACATCAGTAAGAGTTGTTCCAATATGTGTACAAACTATTTTTCCTTGAAATATATGTAGATTGTTTTCCAGAGTATTTGTAATGAAAAGACGAGCAATAGCCAGAACCTGCAAAATTCAACTCTTCTTTATCTAAACTACCAAGTGTTCTATAAGACTTTAATACCATTAGTAACAATTTCAAATGGAAAAAATAAAACATTTCCATAGTTGTTCAACAAATATTTTATCATAAAAACCCAAAATGCTTGTTCCAGAATAACGTGTTGTTTTATCAAAAAAAATTTTATGACCACTTTACTTGGTGTTGAATAAATCATTGCATCGTTATCTGCCTCACATATATAACCAGGCTTCATACCATCATTTGTATTTACAACTATTCGAATAATAAATTCTTCTATTCTTATTGGATAACATAATTTTGTATTTTCTTAATAAAATTCCACCAATAAATGGCAAATGGGCCATGATGGATATCTCGATCAATTTCGTCAGGTGCTATAAGGTATTCTTTTATATTTTGACATTGGGTCAACAAGCGGAAACACCAAGACTTGAGAAAAAAATATCTGATTAATAGACGGATCGTCAATTAATCTCGGACTTCCATTAATTGGTCAATCCCATTTAATTAAAATTTAATCTCTATAGGTAAAATTGTTTTATTTGTCCTCCCATATCTACATATATTTATATTATATTAATTAAATATTATATCGTGTAACAGTGATTTATAAATAGTTTTGTTAGTATTGTTTATTAAAGGAAAACCTTTTTTTCTAACAGCGAGTGATTTTCAAAAAAAAAACAACTAATTCCTTCACTTTGCTGCCTTTAAAAATCATATCTCTTCAAATATATGTTTATATATTTACACGCGCACATCCCTTTTTTTTAATATTCACATTACATAAATATTAAAATTGTTACCGACTAATTAATCATTGATACTAAAAAGAGCTCGATAGACTTTGTCATAAAGAGCTCTCAAAGATTTTCAATTTGAACGACCAATATCCGCCTACATTAAATTTGTGTTGACTGCAAATTGGTATATCTACGTACTATACTCTTCCGGCATTTAAACACGCATATACTACGAAAAAATGATTGATGACGTAGTTGTTGGTGGATACTGGTTAGTTGAAGAAAAAATCGGCGAGGGATCCTTCGGCGAGGTCTTTCGAGGTATTACTTTATTTATTATCAAAATACTTTTGCATGTTCCTTCAATTATTGTATTCATACTTATATGTACATACGCTTAAATTTTGACATTAGCAAAGCATATTACAACCAAACAATTATATGCAATAAAGAGAGAAGCTACATCCATAGAAGATCCCCAACTACCACATGAATACAAAACTTTGAAATTATTAGATGGTTATGGTATTCTTACTTTTAAATTTTTAAACAAACAATTTCTTTTTATCAAGTTTATTAAAAGAATCATTAGAATAATTTATTAAATGCTTATATATTAAAATAGATCACATTCCAAAGGTTCACTGGTTTGGAGAAAAGTCTGCTTGGAATTGCATTGTGATGGACTTGCTTGGTCCAAGTTTGCGTTCTTTAAATCAAGCATTTCGTTCTTTGCCAGTAGCTTTCATAAGTGATATTGCCATTCAAATGGTATCTATTAGTTTAATTGATAAGAAGAATTTGCAGTATATTATTATTAGTTAAAATTATTTAATTTAAAAAATTTATTATCTATTTTATATTAAAAACAAAAATTTATATAGGTGTCAATTCTAGAATACATACACAATAAAGGGATAGTTTATAGAGATATAAAGCCTGATAATTTTCTTTTGGAAAAATGTTTTCCTATATCATCAGATAGGATACTAATGTATAATACTTTTGACGAAACTCCTGAATCAAAATTACGCGACTTTCAACTTTTAATTGGAAGAAAACATAAAGTATTTTTAGTGGATTTTGGTTTATCAACCAATTACGTTGATCAAAAAACCGGATTCCATATTCAAAAAAATCAAAAAATGTTGAAAAGTAAAACTGGCACTGCTCGTTATGCTGCTCTAAATGTTCATCGTGGATATTGTATGTTATTTATCACTGTTTTTGATGACATTGATATGACGTTTTCTAAACCGTGATAATGATGATGATAATATTATTTTTTAGATCATACAAGACGCGATGACATGGAATCATTAGGTTATGTTTTCTTGGAGCTTCTACGTGGCTCACTTCCATGGTCTGGCGTTATAGCGCGTAATTCTCGACAAGGTTGGGCAAAAATGCAAAGAATGAAAGAAGAACTATCACTTGTTGAATTATTTGAAGGCCTCCCGACTGGATTTATGACTTATCTAAATTATTGTAGAAAATTGGATTTTGACCAAAAACCAGATTATGATTATTTAAAAAAAGTTTTATCGTATGTTTTTATTTATTATATGTATATATATGTGGATTTATATTTATATTTATATTTATATCAATGGATTGTTTTATTTAATTATTAGTGAGACAACAGGATCTGGCTCTGAGGCAGAATTAGTAGTACCAGAAGTTAAATGGTTTGATGATGTATCATTTAATAATGCACCACTGTCACCATTTAATCGTGCTAAAAAATTTTCAAGCCGACAACGAATGAACAAGGATTTTACTACAAAAGAACGTTCAAATTCTTTTAATATCCCACCTAGAACAAATTCGTTAACTTCATCAGGGGTTGATTCATTATCGCCTCCAAGAACATATTCTTTGCCGTATGGAGATCCTGCTCATGTATATAATACACATCAACCCAACAACAACAACTACAATAATAAAAATAACAATAATAGAGATTGTGATCATCATGGAAATCGTAATGATAAAAAATCCGTATATATTAAACGACCCGTAGCAAAAGGAGCTTGGTTCATTTCAAAAAATCCTGGTGCAGTTTGGGATCAAGAAGTAGCAGCTATTGAAAATGCATGGAAAGAAGGTTGTTCATGGAATGGGAATGATGTTAATTATAAATCAAAATCTGTAAGGTCTACACCCACAAATGAACATTCTTTTAACGACAATTTAGATAATTTTAATCACCATAACAAGTCACCCCTACCATCACATCATCACAATCATCATCATTACAATCATTATCATCATCATCGACCAAAACAACAAAGAGCTTATTCTTTACCTTGTCAAGAAACTGGTTATGTAAATAATACCAATCATTTTAATAATAATAATAATAACAACAATCGTGGCTATGATCGCTCAGGAAAAAAAAATGATTATCACCAAGCAAAAAATAAAAAATCAATTGGGAAAACTTGGAATATGAAATACTATAATGATCAAAAATGGGACAATGTTGAAAATACATGGAAGCAAGGGCGTGCTTGGACCCAAGATAATGTTGATAGTCAAGAATTAAGTTCTATACCATCAACACCAATAAACGAAGGCGGAATAAATTTTTGGAACTATAATATGGAACAAGAATTTCATGGATTTGATGGTGGTTTACAAAGTTCTGACGGTTGGATTAATCATTTTAACGATGAAAATATAGTTCCAACAGAAGTTGATAAACATAATATTGCTAATAATAATAATGATAATAATAAGAATAGTGTTGATAATAATGGAAGGTTTAAAGTTAGACAAAGAAATCAACAACGTAATTCTGATGAATCAAAACATAGACCGGATCCAATAAATCTAGAACGATCTCATTCCTTAACATCCAAAAAAAGTCGTGATTTACATGATTTACAATCTAGACGTCCTTCAATTCCTTCTCCATTATCTATATCTATACCACCTAAATCGATTTCTAATCCTGCAAATTCGGCAGTATTATCACCTAATTTTACTTCTGGGTCTGATTATGGTAACAAAAATATTCCACTGGGTCCAAGAAGAAGTATCCCAAACATTCGTAATAATAATAATTCACTCGCTACAAAATTTTTAAAAAGAAGCGTACCGAACTTACGAGACGTTGCAAATAATAATGTAGTTCCTCCACTATCAGCTACCATAAAAAGAACAATGGCTCACATGCAAGATGCTCAGCAAGTTCCAGCAATAAACACCAGGAAACAGCAAGTTATTAATTCACGTTGCCTACCAAGAGAATTCATACAACAGAATTCAAATGAAGATACACATTATGCTAGTCATAATGTAAAATATTCAATTCAAGATGCTAGGTATTCGCCTCAAGATGCTCGCTTCTCCTTGGATGTTAATCATAGAAAGCGTTCAAACACTTATAGCCACAATTATTTTAAAAAAGCTTAAATTAGATTATTATAATAGTAGTAGCATAATAGTAGGTAATAGTGCACGTGCAACAATTATCATACTACTATTATTTTTATCAATATAAATTTTTTAAATTCTTGGTGTATATTTTTCCTCCCTTTGATTTACATTCAATATTTTTTTCTTTTGTTTATCATTATTATTATATTGTATAATTTCTTTTTATTATTTATATAAATATAAGGAAGGTAATTTGATTTAATTTATTGTTATATTTTATACACTTGTAAATTGAGTACATTAGATTATTTATATATAAATGTTAATACAAATTCATTTACTTTGTAATATTAATCTATTAATAAAAAAATGAACTTGGATGGATTTCGAAACTGTTTATTATTATGTAGTAATAAATTTACAGGGAAGAAAGAATTTAAAAATTTAAAATATTTATTTAAATGAAAAAAAATCTAATAATTGCATTGATGTTTCTTGATGTTGCGCAGGAGATGAGGAAGAGGACAAGTTTGAAATTGAAATTTGAGAAACAGGATTATTAGTCTCTTGTTGAAATTCGGTGATCGCGGTTAAATTATTATCGTGGACATTATTGTAAGGTAATGAGGTTATTATATCGAAACTAGACAAATAAGACTCTGATGTTGTTGTTATATATTGCAAGTCAACTTTATTATCTAAACGGAAGAAATAAAATAAATATTTTTAAGAAAAATGAAATTTTCTTTAAAAAAAAAATTAAAAAAGTAAAAAATTCACCATTAACAAATTGTCCAATGTTAAATTCATCATTACTATTAACATCATTATTTTCAAGAGAAAATAAATCGTTACATTGAATAATTTCAAAATTTTTTTTCTTATAAATATTTTTTCTATTAACTTTGTTTTTGATTTTATTATTATATTTTTTTGTTTTTTGAGGTCCTCGTTTCTTTCGATCAGTTGTAAAATTGCATGTAGTTCCGTGTTTTAAACAATTATCGCACGGCGCAGTACCAAACGAACATTTAATTTTACGTTTCTTGCAAATGTCACACGCGATTGTTACATTCTTTCTGTCAGTAAAGATTATATTGTTATTATTGTTTTTATTATTATTATTATTATTATAAATATTGTTAATGTTTGATGATGTTGAAGAAGAAGAAGAAGAAACAGGGGAGGAAAATATAGTATTATTAATTATGGTGGAAGGATCGATATATGTGGGATTTTGACTTTGCATGATTATATAAATAAAATCATCGAAATCATTATTTAAAGTTGAGAATTTTTTTAAAAAAAATCAAAATTGATCTATTT